ATGAACACGTGGACTCTGCAGAAAGGTATCCCTCTGGTAACTGTGACGAGGAAGGGGGCTCGTCTGCTGCTTAGACAGGACAGATTCCTGAAGACAGTGCTGCCCTCTGACCCTCAGTGGTCCACTTTACAGAAGGGGTAAATACGCACATGCCTTTCTAAAATTTTCTACTATTTAACACATTGTTATGTTACTCTACATGTAACTCCTCTATGTATTACTACCATGACTTCTGTTTAAGATGAAGGATTTGTATCTTTTGTGAGTATAAATTTCTTTTTTGTATAGTTTCCTTTGGCATATTCCTCTGACATATAAGACAGACAGTTCCAGCACCATCCACAGACACCTGATGACATCACCTACAGGTAAGAGGGGAATATAAAATTGAATAAAGCTTTTCTTTGCCATTATCTTGGTCTTTGCTCCAACTTTTACTGTATATGTTTTATTCAGATAGTATACATATAGGAGAGGAAGCCAGCTGGGTTAAGGTAAACTCTGATATGACGGGCTATTACATGGTTCATTATGAGGATGGTGGCTGGGATGTGATGACTAAACTGCTGAGGGAAAACCACACTGCTCTGAGCTACAAAGACAGAACTCATTTGATACACAACGCCTTTCAGTTGGTCACGTAAGTATATGTTTGTGTGTGTAACTGTTTGTGGTTTACGTGAGCTAGCAAGAGGTTTCTGTATAAGAAAACAGCTTTGATTACTAAAAGTAAAATAGAAAACAATAATCTTCTCTTTATATTTATTTCTTCTAAAGCGCTGGTCATCTGCCACTCAATAAAGCCTTAGACTTAATCGGTTATCTGCTACTGGAAACGCACACAGTGCCTCTCCTCCAAGGACTGGGATATCTAGAAGCTTTTTACCATCTGGTTGAGAAAAGAGATGAGTCAGTTTTAACACATAACCTGGGGGTAAGAACGCAGGACACAGTTTGATTTTTTTTATGGCATTATGGCATTAGTTTAATGTGAGTTGTTGTTTCTGTTGTCCTGTGTTTCTACAGGCATACATCTTGCGATTTTTCCGTGCCATCATCGACCAGCAGACGTGGAGTGACAGCGGCACTGTATCAGAGCGCCGTCTTAGGACTGAGGTCCTGTCACTGGCTTGTCACCTGGATGACCCTCCCTGTGTGAAGCGGGCACGTCAGCACTTCAGCGACTGGCTCCAGTCCAACGGAACCCTCAAGTATATCTAAACTACACTTCAACACTCATTCACAGTCAGCAACCACATATATGATTCACATAAACAACTGCTCTTTCCTGTGCTAAGAGAGCTCATATAATCTGATATGTCACCATATCCCTAATATGCACGTCTGTGTTTGTGTTTACTTCAGCCTGCCCACTGATGTGGCAGAGACTGTGTATTCAGTTGGAGCTCAGGATGACCACGGCTGGGCCTCGCTCTTACACACATACAAGATTTCCCTCTCTGAGGCACAAAAGCACAAGATCCTGTATGCTTTGGCCAGCAGCAAAGACACCAGCAAACTTGAAGGGTATGTTGTCTTCATGCTGTTGTTGGAAAATATAGCAGAAATGCTGCCACCTTGTGGTAAATATGGAGGCATGTATGGATTAGTAACCTCAAAGTCTGAGCCTACTTATTGAAGTGTATGGTAAGCTGAAATTGAATTTTAGTTAGTAGTCTTTGTGTTCATGTTTGTGTTTTTGTTACAGCCTGCTGGAGCTGGGTTTGGAGGGAAAGGTGATTCGATCCCAGGATCTGTCCACTCTCATACTGATGGTAGCCAGAAATCCGAAAGGACATTACCTTGCATGGGACTTTGTGAAAAAGAACTGGGACACACTAGTTCAGAAGTCAGTATAACAGAGACTGTCCTAAAAGCGTGCCATATAAATGCAGTTTTTAATGCTATTTTTAACTATAGCATATTCAGTGAAATCTTTTTCCCCCCTCAAACTGGCCTTGTGATCTAGATTTGCGTTGTAGTGTTTAAAAGTACCATATCATACAAGCACCACAGTCTGGATATTCAGATATATTTGTCTTGACCTTCTTGTCTGTTGTCTTTCTGGTCTCCAGGTTCCAGCTGGGCTCATTTTGCATTAGAAACATCATCATTGGCACCACAAGTCAGTTTTCCTCTCCAGAAGAACTCACTGAGGTAAATAACATGGTTTATATTCCACAAAGAAGTTTAGATATATTGATATTCTGAGAGGTCAAATAACTAATATGTGCTAGCCTTGTTGCAGTTATAACTGAACGAGTAGATTTCTTTGAACTTTTTTGTCTGTTTTCACTTAAATAGTTGTGTTTTTGCCCCCAGGTGCAGTCATTCTTTGAGTCCATCAAAGAACAGGCTTCTCAGCTGAGAGCTACTCAGATTGCCCTGGACAATGTACTGAAAAATGTCCGCTGGGTTCAGAGGAACCTGGAGACGCTGAGAAATTGGCTGAATGAGCAGATGCAGTGAAAGACAGCAGGGACAAAGGTGGTGGCTTTAACATACCACAGAGGGACTATCTCACAGTTTTTTTTTTAATTTGTTTTTTATTCAGAAATGTATATGCTTGAAATCACTGAAGGGTTGACAGACTTGTAAATACAAAACATGTGAATTTCAGGGAATTTGTTGATTAAAACAAGAACTAAAAATTACTGGCAGCTAAGTGGTAATGGTTTGTATAAGAATAAGTTTTGTGTTATTTTTAGTGTGTGTGAAACAAAGAGATTCATTCCAAAGAGGCAAGAAACACAGCATAAATGGATGCTTCACCATCAGGGGCGGAGCCCATGGGTGGCCAGGGGTGGCAACGGCTACAACAGACCAAAGTCTGACTACTCACTGCAACCAGTGATGAAGTCATTAGGGAGCCACAAATATAATCAGAATTCACACTGAGTTGGGACTATATTTTTTTTTAGTTTTTCACTACAGTTGTTCTCACACAAACAGACTTTGACATCAGCCACACGCAAGTAAAATTTGAGAAGCTGGTAAAAAACAAACAACGAAAAAAGCAATGTCAGCATCAGAAGGGGCAAGTCTGCAGAATTTGAGAAAGATAGGTCACATGACAGTAAACCAAAAGAGGAAAAGAGTTAAACAAGTTTGTCAAATTTAGTAAATACATAAATAAACTGGAAAAATATAGCTAAGATCGGACTCTTATTAAAAGCAAACAGTAGTTAAATTATGTTTTAAGGAATGGAGTTCTTCCTGACCCTCCAATGCACAGCACAGTTCCTGGCTTTACCATATTCTTTATGTGCCTGAACAAGAACAATGAGCAGAAGCCAGTTATCTAAAGGAGTCATATAATGAAACAGAAGCCTTGTTACACATTCACAAACATCAGAATCAAAACAAACGGGTTTGAAGTTAAACACGAACAGTTAAAAGAGTACTTACAAAAAATCAAATTATTAAACACAACTGTTAATGCACAGCTATGCTCCTCAGTATTCAAATCAAATGCAATGACTTGGTTGCTTTAAGCTGTAATTTTTTTATATATATCAACAACATAAAAAGAAATCAACTTTGTAAATTTTCAAGATTTTTTATTATGCCCTCATGTGGAAAGAAAACATTACAGCCATGTCATGAAAAAGCAATTAAATGAAGATTGTTTTCCCCACATTTTCACACATGAGAAAAAGAATGCACAACAGTGCCACCACAGTGTAAGTAATAGTTTCACCCTGACCACATCTATACAAATGGCCAGATTCCAACACGGTTCACTACATGGACAATAAAAGAGTTTGTTGTACCTCCTGTATCTGCGTTTTTGTTGCATAAACTGAAACATATCCTTTATGTCTTGAGTGTAGATTGTGTACGCCTATATTATGTTAGGGTCTTGGTATAAATACTTAATGCCTATCATTAGGGTTTAGGCTGTAAATGAAAGTAAAACAATTTAAATAGCATGACAACAAAAACAAGGGAGAGAATAAAGGAGTAGGAAGAAGTATAAGCTTATTATTCCCACCACATCGCCACTGTTTAGTATAATCATCATTGTAACTTCCTATTTAAGTTCTGTCCCATCATAAATCTTTATTTGTTGTTATTATACTAAAACAACAAAAACACACACATAGTCCAAAACGTGGAACTTGTTAATGATCTGAAGGCAGTTGGGACCACAGTCACAGAGAACACTTTCTGTAACACACTACACTGTAATGGACTGAAATCTTGCAGTGCCTGCAAGGTCTCCCTGCTCAAGAGGGCACAGTACAGGCTGTCTTAAGTTTGCCAGTGAACATCTAAATGATCCAGAGAAGATTTGGGGTCATTTCTGCTAAGGGTACAGGACAACTTAACTACAATGAAGGGTTGATGGACGGCACTGTAAAATCTGGATGAAAACCTCCTTCCCTAAGCCGGAATACTAAAGATGGGTCGTGGATGATAAAACCAAAACAAAACATACCACCAAGTCCACAAAGGAGTGGCTAAAGAAGAAGCTAATTATGATCATGCTGTTGCCTAGACAGTCTCTAGACCTCAGTCCTACAGAAAATCTGTGGAGGGAGCTGAAAAACAGCAACCAAGAACCCTAAAGAAGAGGGAACAAACCTGCTGACCAACTCCAAAAAACATCTTACTGCTGTGCTTGTCAAGAAGGGTTTGTTTTGCTTGGGATGAAATAGTCCCCTCAATGACATGAAAATCAACCTATAACTTTTATCTGTTTTTCTTAATTATAGTTTGATATTATGTCTCTCGCGATTAAAATGAAACTATCATAAAATCTAGGCACTGGTCATCTCTTTGGAAGTCAACAGGGAATGGAATAATTATTTCCCCCACTTTACACAAACATGCATACACATCCAAAATAGAATATAAAAACGCTGTATTTACCATATACACGAACGTCGTCCTCTCAGGAGAACCAAAAAACCTTTTTTGGTAGGGGCGCATGCATCCGTCGTGCACGTGGCCCCGCCTCCCGGTGGGAACATCCAATCAGATGTGAGTATTGTAATTTGACGGGAGGTCGTCAACATCTGATCGGAGAGGAGGAAAAGTGTCATTTGCTCGTGTGTTTGTTGTTTGCCGAGCGTTTTAGCGAGCAAGAGTAGTTCATGTGTTTTTAGCTCAAGGTGTATTAGTTAACGACAACCGCCCCTTACTCGCTTTTTAACTTGAATAAACAGCTATGGGCGATAAAGTTATGGAAAGCGGCTAACGTTAGCTAACTGAATGTATTTCAGTCGGTTACAATTGTCAGAAGTTGGCTAGTTTCAGGCTAGCTACTACGTAGTTAGCTACCGCTAGTGTAGTGTCAGGGAGCCTGCGGTGGGTTGTTGCCAGCGATAAAATCATCTCGGCTGTCTAGCGTCTTTGAGAGTGCAGAGGTTTCCCAATTTTTTTGTTTTGGACGGGACAAGATCTTTTGAGATATCTTACCATGGATTTGTTTGACAGTAACAGTTCAGGTAAGTAGACACGGGCAGAAGGTACAGTAAAAGAGCAAGCTAACAGCAGCAGGCCAGCTAATAACTGTCGGGACATTTGGCTGGGAGTGACATTCACCCGAGGACACATGCTGCGATTGACTTTTTAAAAACTGTATTAAAGCAGCTTTGTCTTTGCTGCGTAATTTCCTTAATTTGACTCTCAGAATCGATCTTGTTGATTGTTGATAGTCCTACCGTGACATGACACTTACATTTGCATACGAGTTTCATTTCCCCATAAGCATCAATCAGTGGGCTGCTTAAATATTTTAACTGAAATAAAGATAGTGAAACACAACAGAAGTTGTGTTAACACAGCACCCTGTTACGTTTCAAGTTATCTGTAACAGCATCACTGTTCGCTCGATTTAAGTGTGCTTGGTTTGATAGCGGCTGTGTTTTCTCCTGACGTGGAGCGCCGATAAGTCACGCTCCCAGCCGCTCATGTTGTTTATAACCTCTGTTATGGTCCCAGGACGTGCATTGTTTTATTAGAGCAAACAAAAGAGAGGGCTGTGTACACACTATAACAGCTCAGAGGAAAGTAGCAGCAGCAGCAAAATCACTGTAGTTTGACTTCCTGTTTTTGTGTATCTTTGCGTGCATGTAAGGAGGTTTGATTGTGACTTGGTGATTTTCTGAGACCAAACTTGTATTTCGCAATCACATTTTCATCAGATAATGATGTTAAAACGTTTACATATTCTCCCTTCCTATAAACTTTAAACAGTGAGCCATTTTTCAGTGTGTTTTCTGTGTTTTATTACTTGGGGACACACCTGCCAAACACAGGCACATATTTAGTTGTAGTTCTGTGAGTCTGCTGTTGGGTTTGTACTTGTTTTGCATAAACAGGAAAACCCCAGTTTGCCGATAAACTGCTTTAGTGTATTTACACACAGACCTGTGGGTGTTTTACATTTATCCTGCTTAATCATAACCATCACCATAACCACTTCTCTCTTCTGAGAATGTCATTTTGCTCATATGAAATATCTGTTTAACGTGTTTAGTCACTGCTATTCTTATAAACCCTTGTAGACCTTCCACTTTGCCCATTGCTTAGCTCCTAACCTATTTATAGATATTCATCATGCAGCAGTGTGGTCCAGACAGAGAGACTGTGTCGACCCACGCTGTCATATCAGAAACACTGTACTGAGCACACAAGGAGCAAAATAATTCACCTCTGACATTTCTGGTCTGCTGACTTTCTTTGGGAGTTAAAGCTCATCTTTGTTTGCTGTAGTTGTTTTTGAGTGAACACTTTAGGTGTTCAGTGTCTTTCTGTGCTTTCCACTTACAGCCATGAAATGGAAAGTGAAAACTGTTTAGGCTGTAAAACCATGAATGGACTGTGGGGCTGAAACTGCAGAGTTGCACAGTTCAGCATTTTAATACTTTAGTTATTGAATTAGGAAGTTGAACATGCCTCTGATTGTTTCAGGAATTACTGTGGGGAAAGTCTGGCTTCCAGGCAGTGACTTAAAGTTTGTAAAACAAGGCCTTCTCTTGTCATAAAGCTGCATATGCAGGTTAGTTTGAGGAAATGCACGCCTTTAAAAACTGCATGTGACATGGTCTAGTGATGAGTAGTCTTTGCTTTAGCGTTTTCCTATTTGGGGACTTTTTTCACTTCTTTTCCCCGTGAAGAAGAAGTTATTCCAGGTTTGTAATGTCTGCAGTTTAGTCTTTCAACAACCTGATAAACCTGTTCTGTGTAGATAAAAGAAGCAGGAAATACTGAAGAAGGTGTTCTAACGGGAAATTGCAAAAACTCTGGGAGCACTTTATGAAACGTGGCTTTGTGTTGAAAGCGCATTCAGTGACAACATTGCTCTTTGTGCCAGATAGTCTCTTCTGCTACTCTGTAATTCTACATCTTTATTCTGTTACATCTCTCTCCTTTCAATCATTTCCCTTTTTTTTTAGCAGCATCTGTCTGATTTCTCTTCCTCTTTGTGCTACAGAGCGTGCCAGCCTGCCGAGGAACATGATTGAGAACAGCATGTTTGAAGAAGAGCCCGATGTTGTGGATTTAGCCAAAGACTCCACAGCCTTTCCGGTATGCCAGTATGTCAGGGTTGATAATGTGAGCGAATTGGGGCAAATAGTTGTAAGCTGCTTCTGTCTGACAATGCTATCTCTTCATCATGGTAATACTTCATATGCAGTTTTAGTTTTCAGTCACCGCAGTGATGCTGCATCATACAGCCTTATAGATAAAGTCTTTACACTTTCTCATTCTCTAATAGTCACCAAATCCTCTCTTAAAGCTCCTCGATCCTTTTGCAACTGCAGAAAGGACAGCTACAATCATTATTAAAACACATCTTCTTTCATTACCTGTTATCTGGACCCTTCTCTTACCTGATTATTGTTTTTATCATTCATTCCTCTGCACTCAGTCTCGTCACCCCCTCTACATATGACATTTTACCCCGTGCTAACTAACTTACATGGAAAGTCTATACAATGAATAGGAATCTGCATGATTTAACCAGAGGATAATAGAACCTACTGGATATGCTCTCTCCAGACGTTTCCTGCTCTTGATCCAGATGAAGTGACATATGAACCCCGTAGTTCACGGTTACTTGTGCGAGGCCTGGGGGAAAACGACATGGATGACGATGAGGAGGACTGCGAGTCTTCAGCACGTTTGTTGGGCATGTCTTTTATGAACCGAAGCTCTGCTCACAGATCCAACTCTTCTCCTTACACCAGACAGGCACCACCAAGGTAAAGTAGGGTTCATCATATGGGATAATGTGCAGCAAGTTTACTTAAAAAATTATTTTTTTCTCTGTGGCATATAGGGCTTCATAAATATTTTAGTATTATTATATGATCTGAGTATTTTTGGAAAACAAATTTTGACTTAGTGAGTCGGAAGATAAAAGTACAGCATGTACAACAACATTGGTAGTCCCTGTTTGCCCAGCAGAGTTGTTAGTACTGTTGAAAAACAAATATATATTTATGAAGAGACATGCTGTTAGGAGTCCTGTCAGAAAACTTGTGGCTACAATTCCAATTTTGTTTTAAAACTATATTATGTCATTGTGCCAAGAATGCAATGACAGCAATGACAACACAGGCTAAGATGGTCTAAGTTTGAGTTGTGCTTCCGGATCAAAAAAGTAACCATTAAATATAGCAAAGTCATAGTTAAAATAATTGTGCTGGTTAACCTTAAAGTACTGTTATTGACTACATAAGGTAAATGTTAAAAAAAAGCTGTATGCAGATACCACATCCTGTCACATAATAAAAAACTTTCGCATGTGAAGGCTTCAACTTTCACCGGCAAACTGTCTCATACTGAAAGATGATCATTTTTATGCTCGCTGTCTAAATGCCGGTTATGAAAGCTCGCATTAACCAAAACTTGACAATCGAGTTAGCAGAGAGATCCTCTTCATATTTAAAATGAGTTAGTGTAAGTAATGTTAATCTCGTTTTGATTTCAGGTCATGTTCACGACCCTCATCACGTACTATAGTTGTATGTGTGTTATTCCTCGTGATAGTGGCCTCAGTGACCATGGTATTCTACTTCCTACCTGGCTGCACCTTTACTAAAGTAAGGAAAATATTAATTAGTCTTCAAGAATATCAATTTCAGAGCAAAAACATTTTCTTTTTCTCCATGCTCAGTCACACATTCATTGCTCACTCCAACTCTCTATCCTTTGCAGGCAGGTTGTCCTAAACCAAACAAGACCAATCCCATTGAGCCAGTCTACCCCATCTCCACAAATGGTGAATTGTTTCCATGGGCACAGCTCCGACTCCCTCAAAGCATAAAACCTCTCAGCTATGACCTCACCCTGAACCCCGACCTCGACAAAATGACCTTCACGGGCAGAACTGTTATCAGCATGTCTATACTTCACAGCACAAACCGCATTGTATTCCATGGTGCTAATTTCAACATTACCAAAGCAACCTTCAAAGTGGGTTTGAAGAGAATTTTTTGTGTTCTGATGAATAAATTTACTTTTTTTTTTTTGTCTGCTAGTATGTGACTAACACTTTCTCTCTTCCAGTTGGGTGATGGGCAGGCCAGTGATGTGACTGTACTGGAATACAAACCCAGACAGCAGTTAGCTGTTAATTTCTCAGAGGAGCTGAAAGCAGGCCAGTACTGTGTTTTGACAATGGAATATTCTGCCAACTTCTCAAACGCATATGACGGTTTCTACAAGAGCTTCTACACTGATAAGGATGGAAACAAAAGGTACCCCTTGCTCATTGGCTGTTTATTAGCAGGCTACTTACCACAAGCTTTTAAGGTGGCGGTAATTAAGGCATTACTTAAAAAGTTCTTATTTGTTCCAGCTGTTGTAACTAATTATAGACTGTTTTAATCTTCCTTTTAGTTCAAAGAATCATGAAAGACTAGTTAACTAGACTAGTTAATCAGTCAAGATTGAGAGTGCATCATAGCACTGAAACAGTATTAGTGAAAGTTATGAATCTTCTAATGGCCTTTGGCAATGAACCAATGAACTCATATCTGCATTTGTCCTGTTAGACCTCAGTACAGTGTTTGCTACCACTGACCACAAGATTTTACTACAGATATTAGAACATACTGTTTGTATTAGATGAACTGTGCTGCAATGGTCTGAGTCATATCTGTTGGATAGATTTCCAATTAGTTAGTCGTGGAGTTCTGTGCTGGGACCAATACTTTTTACTTTATACTTGCTTCATTTAGGCAACCTTATAACAAAACACTGCATACAGTTTCATTGCTATGCAGATGATGCACAGCGTTATTTATCCATGAAGCCAGGTCATGCAAATCAACTAGTTAAATTACAGGGACGTCATAAACACATAAAGGCCTAAATTACTTCTAAATTCAGATGTAACTGAGGTTATTGTACTCAGCCCTAAAAATCTAACAGGATATTTACTTCAGATGGCCTCATAGTGTTACCTTTAGTAACACTGTGAGTCATCTTGGAGTCATTTTGACCAGGATATGTCCTTCAGCGTGCACATCAAGCAAATATATAGGACTGCCTTCATTCATGTGCACAAGATCTTTAAAATTAGAATCATCCTGTCAGAATGATGCTGAAAAACTAGTTTATGCATTTATTACTTCTGGCTGGACTGTTGTAATGCATTGTTATCAGGCTGTCCTTAAAAGTCCACGAAAACCCTTCATTTGATTCTAAATGCTGCTGTGAGACTAGAAAGAAAGACCGTATTTCTCTTATTGGCACCAGAATTTAATTTTAAATTTTTCTCCTTATATACAAAACCTTGAATAATCAGGTCCCACCTTATCTTTAAGACCTCTTAGGACCATATCACCTCATTAGAGCACTTTGCTCTCAGATTCAAGGTTTAATTTTGGTTCCTACAGTTTTTAAAAGTAGAATCGGAGGCTTCATCGATCAGGTCCGTGTATTTTGGAACCAGCACCCAGTTTGGACTTGAAGAGACAGACGGCTTCTCCCACTCTACTTTTACGTTTTAAGATTAGGTTCAAAGCTTTCTTTTTTAATAAAGATTACAGTCAAGCCTGGGTCTAATGACCCTGACTCATACTGTACTAAGCGTAGGCTACTGGGGGCTTCCCATGATGCACTGACAAGTTCATCTTCACTCATTTCTTTTCACTCCCTGTGTGTTTATACACTACTAGTGCATTTAATCATTAGTACTTATAAAACTCCTGCCTTTTCTCTTATAGTTTTCCTTTTGACCTGTTTCTCTCTGCTGTCTACCCTTTCCCTTCACTCTCAACTGGCAGATAGTTGTCATTTCCCGAGCCTGGTTCTGCTGGAGGTTTCTTCCTGTTAAAAGGGTTTTTTTCTTTCCTACTGTTGTCACGTGTTTGCTCACACGGGGATATCTTGTTGGAGTTTTTTTCTAATACTGTAGGGTCTTACACTTAAAATATACTTCACATTAAGGCAACTATTGTTGTGAATTGGTGCTATATAGGAACAATTGAATTGGTTCTGCCATAAGTACAGACTATGGAGTCAGCTCATCTCATCGCCACAGTCTAACAAATGAGTGCTTTAAAAATAACAAATACAGAAAGAAAATGTTTTATGGAGTTTAAACATTTCCAGCATGGTCATGTTCACCCCCTCTTTTCCCCAGGGTCCTAGCAGCAACACAGTTTGAGCCACTGTCGGCCAGGAAAGCCTTCCCTTGTTTTGATGAACCAGCTTTCAAAGCGACATTCCTGATTAAAATCAGCAGAAAAAAAACCTACATGACTCTTTCAAACATGCCCAAGGTAATTTAAAATGAACGAGTTTTGCATTATGATACTAATGGTTGAAACATTCTACTCAGTGTTTTATAAGGCTTCATTCATATGTGGTTGAATTATTTTTATTCACTTGTTCATTTGTTGTTATTTTTGGCAGTATCCGACTAGATTTAAATGTATGAAAACTGACACAAGGTTTGAATTACATTTGGTTACAGTAGCATGAGAGTTTAACATCCTAATAGAGGTTTGGCTTTTGAAGAAGTGATTCTTCTTTTTTTGTACAGATGCTGAATGGTGACAATTTTAAATTAATGCCAGCTGTTACATACCGGCTTGGATGTACAAAATGAAATATGCTTTCTTCTGAGGAGGCTTACATGATGGGTTTGTCCACTGTATTATAGAGTTCACAGAGTTTCGATTTTTTAAGATACTGTCAGTTGCAGTAAACTTACAATTGTGCTTTGTCACTATGTAACCACAGTTTACAAAGCATAATTATAATAATATCCTGTCCTGAAGACTTTGTAATTCTTGTAACCACTATGGCTTCTCAGGTCACGGTGGGGGTACAGTCAATACTACCAGATGGTGTGCTGCACTGCTGTATTCATCCACAATAAGTCAACAATACTGATTTATTGCAGAGGACTTCAATACATCCTTGTTTTGTGTATTTCAGGCAAAATCCACAAATGTCTCCAATGGCCTTGTGCAGGATGAGTTTGAAAAGACCAGTGTTAACATGAGCACTTACCTGGTGGCCTTCATCGTTGCTGACTTCACCCCTAACACCAAAAATGTTTCAGAAACCCAGGTAGGTCTAGCAGAGAAATATTTTTCTGTTTCAGTTCAGCCTCTGCAAATATTTTTTTTTAAATGTATTTTTCAGTGAGGCTGTGCTGTTGTTGATAAACTATATATATGTGTATACATATAAATACCTTTTATTGTTTGTGTTAGGTGTCAGTCTACTCTGTACCAGAGAAAAATGGGCACACTGAGTATGCTCTGACCATAACCTCTAAACTGCTGGAGTTTTACAATAACTTCTTTGACATTAATTACCCTCTCAAAAAACTAGGTGAGTAAACCAATGGATATTTAATTATACACACTCTGTGCTCTATCCTTGTGTAACTGTTCTCCCCCTGTCCCGTTTTTACACAACCCCATATGCTGTCTTTCTCTGGTGTCAGACTTGGTAGCTATTCCTGACTTCCTGGCAGGAGCCATGGAGAACTGGGGGCTAATCACTTTTCGGGAAACCACTTTGTTAGTGGGCAAAGAGTCTTCTCTCCTGGAAAAACAAGTGGTGGCTTCTGTCATAGCACATGAGCTTGCTCATCAGGTACTTTTGTTTGTGTTTGTATCTGTGAAAAGAAACAGTGAATATGTTCACATGTCCAATGTTTTTTTGTTCTTTTTTGTTTTACAGTGGTTTGGAAACCTGGTGACTATGAGATGGTGGAATGACCTGTGGCTCAACGAAGGCTTTGCCACTTACATGGAGTACATGTCACTGCAGGAAGTGTCGCCCGACCTGGAAACTGTACGTTCTGCCGTGTAGCTTGCCAAAATATTTGTCATAGTTTTAAATCAGATAATGTTATGTGCTCCTACATATGCAGTATGCCCTGTTTGTTTGCAGGGTAATTTATTCCTCTCAGTGCGGTTCAGAGCCCTAGACAAAGATGCACTAAACTCCTCGCACGCTGTGTCGACAGACGTTAATACAACAGAACAAGTAGAGGAGATGTTTGACTCTGTCTCTTATGAAAAGGTAAACTCTGACTTATAAGTACATCACATGCTGTTCATTAATTCACTTAACTTTGATTTCTAGCTGTTCATTTAAGGAAATAGTGACCCTCACATGAATTCTTGATAGTTTATTGCTAGTTTATTATTCTTTGTCTTCCAGGGTGCATCCATTCTTCTAATGCTGAATGCTTCCTTCTCCGGAGATCAACAGTTCAGAAAGGGTATCATTGAATATCTCAAACAGTTCAGTGGATTAAATACAGACACTGATGACCTCTGGAACAGCCTCACACAGGTATTAGTGGTGTGTTTTTTATGTTCATGCATATGTGTGTTTTTACTTACACAGTGGCTGGTTATTTTTTCCCCTTTGTGAAGTGGGATTGTGGCAAAATGTAGCCTTGGTAAAATTTACCATAGAGCTTGACCAATACAGTATTTTTAAGACCAATACCAATATTTGTTGATTTAAAAATCAATATTTTTTTTCTTTCTGTCACACAACACCTATTTATTTACTCATTTACACTCTCTCTAAATCTGCTTGGATCAGCTGGTTGTTGTGTTAAGAGATGTGCATGACTAATTGGCTAGAAGTTCAAACGTTGCTGCTAGAAATATTAGCTGGTTATATGTAGCATTCTTATTTTTTTAAACGTAAGATATTGTCAAAGATGTTACACAACTGCTGGGCACTGTCAGACTGCAGCCTTTAGAGTTGGCTGCACACACCTCTCTGTGTGTCCGTGAAAGGAAATTGTAAATGAACCAGGGGAAAGTAAAACAGATGGCTGCCAGAGTGCTGCCTGCGCTTATCTGTAGTACTTTATAGTAAAGCATGAGCAGCCGTAGGTTGGTTTTGCCAGAATAAACTGGAGTAAACTGGAGTGTAGAAGCTAGACAGGAAGAAACTGAGGCTACTGCTGCTAGTTCTGCTATGGCTAGCCAAAGGCTGTAAGTTAATCTGATATTGTGCATATTTACAACATTATACAGAATGTAAAGTGCCGCACCTTTAAGCAACATTTAAAACATGATTGTCTAATAAGAAATATGATTAATGGGTTCATATAGCCCTTAAAATACAAATGAAATATTTGTAAGAAGGTTCTGACCTTTGGGCTCGTTGAGTAAACAAAGTTTTTCTCTCTCATTTAAACGGCTAGAAAATTAGTCACCAGGATGTATCCTAGTTCCAAACACCCATGTTACCAAAAAGGAAGATGCATAGTGCCCTCTGGTGAACAAACTATGTAACACCAACACTCATAACCTGGTTAAAGAGTGTTTCTCCTGTCCCTGCTTTACTTTTTTTTTTTTTACTTGTCATCTATCAACATTATACTTGCTGATATCAAACTAGTAAATAGATAATGCCTGATGGGCTCTAATCTACTGTAGCAGCAACTACAAGTGCTTTATCTGTACTTACACTGTTTATGTCTTTGCATATAAGGAAAGATTTTGTTAGTTGATAGCATTGCAACTATGCAAGATACAGATGATTACAGATGAGTCCTGAGTAGGCTCTTATAAGGCCTTTTGAAAATAGTCCTGTTAAATATAGATATGTTATATTACCTTGTTTTCTAACTTGGTAAATAGTCTCATAATGGAGATTATTTAGAACTTCTTTTTTTAAATAGATATTTTTATTCTGTTTACTCTTTGCTGAGGTATTGCAGTCAACCTATAATTCAAATGTAGCTAATATGCTCTACATAGAATGGTTCCCTTGCTTGTTCTCTTGCTTATTCCCTTTTGATGGCAGAGCACAAGACAGATGCAAAGACTATATAATTGTGACAAGAGTGTTTCAACCTAATGACCTCAGTTAAAGTTGATGCTTTCATTTGCTTAGTCATCTTATTGTCTGCCACAATGCTAACAACTTGATCAACAAGTCTCTCATAGTTTAGAGTTTATCTTTGATCTGTTCATCAAATAGATGTTTTTGGATAGATTCTGTGAGTAGTGTACACTTTGTTGCCATTTGGATACTAGAAATTGTAATTGTTTGCACAAATTTTGAGACTATAGCTGCAAAATATGAGTCCCCTTCTACACTAATTCTCATGTGTGGAGAAAAAATGAAAGCGTGACATTTGGCTGCACACACAGATCAAATATTCATTCCCCTTCCTATCCTCAGACCGATAAGTCCACGCACCACATGAATGTATCGCAGATGATGACATCGTGGACATCACAGAAAGGCTTCCCACTGGTCACTGTGAACCTCATGGGAAACCAGGTGACACTCGCACAGGAGCACTTCTTGCTCACATCTGACAATACCACGCATACGTCAAGGTGGGTTACACATTACCACACAGACAGACAGACACACATAAATCATAAGGACACCACCGTGCTAACTGTAGTGTGCACTCTCTTTAGCTTGTGGCATATTCCAGTGACGTACGTGAACGACAGCTGTAGTTTGGCCCCTGAGTGCAGACAGGTTTTCACTCTGAAAAATAAATCAGGTAAAAGACTAAAATAGAAACCTATTCTAATTGTCCTTGGCTGAACTGCTCTCGAATGAAAAGTTTTAAGTGTATTCATGTGTTTGTTTTGTTTTGGGGTTTGTTTGTTTTTTTTGTATTTTCAGACACATTTAAGCTGTCAAAAAATGTAACTTGGCTGAAGTTGAACTACAAAAATACAGGCTTCTACATAGTGGACTACGGAAAGGATGGCTGGTCTGCTCTTGCTCAAGCTTTGAGCTCAAATGTTGGCGTTCTTACACACGAGGACCGTGCTTCACTTATACATAACATCTTTGCTCTCTCCAGGTATCAAAGTCTTTTAATTGTATTTAGTGATGAAAGTCTTTTTTTTAAATTTCTTCTGCTTCATTTTGATGCTCCGCTGTTCCTCGTTTGTCCCGTGTCGTCACTAGATTGGGACGTGTGTCCTTCCTGCAGGTCATAAATCTACTGAAATATGTCTCAGCGGACACTGAGACTTCTCCTGTGACAGAGGCCCTTTTACAGCTCAATAATATCTACCGACAGCTTGAAAAAAGACAGGAGTCTAATCTTGCATCCCGCATGAAGGTATTGAACTCACACCCAAGAAATTCGATTTTCAGTAAAGACAGAATTTTTAAAGTTTTGCTTCTGACTCCAAAACAATGGATTTTAAATCAAACTGCCAAGATGTGATTGAAGTGCAGACTTGAATCTTTAATTCAGGGGGTTTAATAAAAAACTTTACATTAGCTGTATCTAGGGTAGTTTTCAATACCTGGCTTAAAAGTCCTTTGCAGTCCTGCCTGAAGTCTAGGACTCACAGGTATCCCCAGTTGGTGTGTTTTCTCCCTTAAGATGTTCTGCTAAGCCTTTACTGCAGCCACCTTCAGCCGCTGCTTATTTGTGGGTCTCTCTGTCTTCTTTTTCAGTTTGACTGAAAAGTTGCTCTATTTGATTGAGATCAGGTGAATGTCTTGGCCATTGAAGAATGCCTCGTTTTTCTTGGACTGATTTTGCAATGTACTTTGGTTTGTCATCCATTTATACTGTTAAGAGTTTTCTGATCAGTTTTGCCGCATTTCTCTGGATCTGAGCAGAGAGTATAGCCCTGTACACTTTACAATTCCTCCTGCTTCTTCTAGCAGCAGTGACTTCAACAGTAAACACGATTGACACAATTGTTACATTTCACAAAACGGCCAGTATGACGTTCTTTAATTTCACTATTAATCTACATCTTTTAACATTACTTCTTTTTTTTCTTTTTTTTACGTCATATTACGTGATAAAACTTTAATTTGCTAAAAAAAATCAGACTTTGATTTGACACTTAACACATAACGTATCTTTGATAAGGTCAGAGCATGTCTTTTTCCTAGTTCATCTGCGTTTTGGCTTTATCATGCTAATGAATGTGTTCTGTTTTGGGGTTTGTTTTGTTTGTTTGTTTTTTGACAGAATTTTATTATGAGCAAATTTTGTAATCTGATGGCCAAACAAACATGGGAAGAAGAAGAGAATGTGTCCAAACAGGAGCTGCGCTCTGCTCTGCTGGAGATGGCCTGTAATCTGAATGATGAAAACTGCACCCAGCAGGCCACGTCCCTGTTCAAAAAGTACATGGAGTCAAATGGTACCCTCAGGTACGTCCAGAGCACAACAAACATTTCATTGTCTTACTCTGCTTCGTTTCAAGCTGGTAACACGGTGAACAGTATTAGTCAAACATCATTTTAGAAATAGAGATTGACAGACCACGTGACTTTTGCGCATTGTATTGTGGGTAGGAGTGGCAACAAAATCAAAACACTGCATCAAGAGCTAGTATTTCCAGCATCATTAATTCTGCGGTTTTAATACCTACTTGCATTTTATTTGCCCCCAAAACTGTTGTGTACAAAACGACGGTGAGTGTATGCACTCACAAAATGTTTAAAAACTTCAGATCCCTACAACAAGCCCAGGTCTAGTTTACTTTGGTGATTTGGACTATTCCATTTCACAGCTGTTGTTACATTTTTTTCTTTATCTCCTGGCCAATGCAATCTATTTGTCATTTCAGGTTGTAGTATTACACAACATTTTCAGATCTAATAGAAATAAAATAAGAATTCATTCAGTTCATTGTCTCTATTTATAACTGGCATTATTGTTTCATTCTATTATAGAATCTTACAGGAAAGATGCAACATTGTATTCCATCATGCTTTATTAGCTGCTTCGGTGAAAAACAAATCAACAATGCCAAAAAACCATATTAAAACAACATATTGGAAAACAGTTATTCATCACTTGATTGCTTCAATACAACACTTGGGCACATATATGTGGGACTTTTCATGGCTGTTTTGAGCTCTCTCTCTCTTAACCGATCAAATCCCACTGTGGTAGCAGCTTTAAACTCAGTATGACCCAGGTTGATAGAGGGTGCCCAGTCTGCATTCCAGCATTTTGTAGGCTGGTTTTCCTACAAAACACAACAAACATTGGCCCGCAAAGCCACAGTGAACAAAGCAGCATAGCGCAACGAATTCATTTCAAATCAATATAAGACTTATTTGTAACCTACATCAACAATCATGTTAAACAGAAGACTTACCTTTATGGAAATGCTTGGAGCAGACTAACATGTGAACTGGAGTGTTCTGGGACATTATATTAGGTCTTCGAATGGCTGCAATCCAGGTCATCCGTCGGCTCTTTGTTACTTCGGAAACATGGCTTAAACAATTTCTCTTCCACAACGTAATCCGATAACAACTGATCTCTTTACCCGTCGGCTTCCCGTGGCTGTTATGCGACCGGCTATTGCAGTTAATAATACAACAGCTTCTTGCCATTCTTTCTGTTTCTTTTTATCACTGTGACTGTTTTCATGTGAAAGCCTGCGTGTGCTAGTACCGCTTGCCACTCGTACCCAGAATCCTTTGCGGTTTTACGCCACATTTTCAATCTCTATGGAAGGTGATGGGACCTAATGGAATCAGAAAATTAGAATTGAGTAGCAAAAGTAAAAGTCTGTTTCTTTTGTATTTATTGTCATAGGATTCCCGGTGATCTGCAGCAGACTGTATTTACAGTGGCTGGCCAGTCTGATGAAACCTGGGACGCTCTTTTCAACATATATGTGCATGCCACGTACGATTCAGAGAAGCGGAAAATGCTAAAGGGACTAGCATCCACTCAGAACCCACAACGTTTAGTACAGTAAGTTTTTTTTTTGTTTTTGCATTTGTTAATTATGTGCTATTTTAACAAAGTCCGTTTCCCCGCCCATTAATTTCATCTGCAACTCAAAGTCCTGCGATGCCATTAAAATGACTTCCCTTGATTCCACCAGAGCAAAAGTTTGACATACTCAAGGTCTCACAGTTACTCACCTTGTCAGTGCTGTAGTTATATTACTGTAGTTTACATGTAAAAATTGTTACTGACCCTGCGAAGTATTTATAGTTTGTTTTTTGTTTCTGGCATAAGCAATCTTGATGTTTACTGACTCAGCAGGTGGAAAACTGTTATTAAATTACTTCAAACTTGTTCTGCGTTTGGGGCATCATTATACTGTAATGTATAATGGTGCCACACACATCTAAACAAACTGATCTTCAATAAGTTGATTAGACTGTATTTTGGGGATGCTAGATTATGTTAGAATGTAGCTGATGTCTTTTTCAGTAAGTCCATCCATTTATTTCCATCCATGCGGGTGTGAATAAACAGCAGCCTACGCAGAGAAGCACAGACCTTGCTCCACCAGCTCTTCTGGTGTAAACTCAGTTGCTCCCGGATGTAATCTCTCCAGCATGTCCTTGGTCTGCCCCAGGGACTCTTACTGGTAGGACAGGCACAAAACATCTCATCCAAAAGGGGCCCAGAAGGGATCCTAGTCACCTCTGCTGTAGCAGCTCTACACTGAGTCCTGTCTCCATGGAAGAGCCCAGACAGCCTTCAAAGAAAGATCATTTCTGCTGCTTGCATCGGTCTTATTCTTTTGGTCACTACTCAGAGCTTGTGATCATAAGTGAGAGCAGGGACATAGATCATAGATTGATGTGACTGGTGAATCGCAGCATCTGCTAGACACTGCCCTGTCTCTCTGTACATCTGCATTTATTTATCATGGATATTTAACAAGTCGTGAAAATGTTGTTATTAAAAGGTTGAGATTTGTATATTAGAAGTTATTTGTTTTAAAACCTGTTAATATAATAGTTATAAACCTTTGAGATGTACGGCAGTGGTGTCAAACGTGTGTCAAACACCAAAGGGTCCAATTCGACCCACTGGATGGCTTTACAGTAAAGTCATTAACTCCCCTGAATTTTCAATAGGATGTATTGTTAAGCCTTTTGTGATGATACCAGCATTAGTATACAGGAGTGAAAGTATAAAAAATGTTTCTAGATTTCAACAAGAAGTCAGCAAATGAAGATTTTGTGCGTTTTCACATTGATCTGGGAATTGTAACGACCACAGACTTCCCAGTTATTTTGAAGTAATACTGTTTTCTGGCACATTTTTAAGGGAGAGCGGCAAAGAGCATTACACTTTGGTTTATGGCTTCAGTTTTTTAAAATTCTCCTCTATCTCAACTTAAAGCTTTCAAAATGTACTTCTTTATACTAAAGATTGTTTGATCCCCACGCTGTGTGGTTACAATCAGGGTCCTTTTGACACGTTTGGTTTCTTTCTAGGATTCTGTCATTTGGCCTGAGCGGAAGTCACATTCAGACTCAGGAGTTGCCTTTGGTTATCAGCACTATGTGTCAGAGCTTTGCTGGTTGTTTGTTTGCCTGGGACTTCATACAAGAGAACTGGGACCGCCTCATAGAGAAGTAAGTTAGTCTCAGAGTTTCCCTTTGTAAAGCATTTTGAGATAATTTCACCTGAAAATTCAACGATTTTGTCTTTTGGGCTGCAGGTTCCCTATTGGCTCCTTTGCCATCCAGACAATCATCAAATCTGTTACCTCCCAGTCCTCCACACAGGCACAACTTAATAAAGTATGTCCTTAAGTCATTTCTTATGAGAATGCATTTGTTTGACTCTCAGTGTACTTGTTTCGTAAGCTGAGCTTGTGTGTTTTGATGTCTTATAGGTGCAGGCTTTCTTCTCTGGTCTGAAGGAGCGTGGCTCTCAGATGAGGAGCGTGCAGGAAGCTTTGGAAACCATAAAGCTGAATAAGCGCTGGATGGACAGGAACCTGCCTACACTCCAAAAATGGCTGTAACACGGATGCTCCAACAAGTCTCCACCCCAGTAACAAGCAACTGGGCTGTTTCTTTGAGACAACAACAGTATTTGCACTATCTTAGGACTGTGTCCTTTACCTCCCCTCATCCAGACCAGAGCGCTAATCAGTGGTTGCGCTCTAGCTGGTTGGACAGGTTGTTTTAATTTTTGAGATTGGTCCTGTAAGTTGTACATGATAGCTCAGGGTGGATCTGATTGTGTGTGTGTGTGATTGTGACAGGGGGTCGTCAGATGCAATACACACTCCTCATGTTTTATGCTGTTGACCAAACCTCTTCCGCAGTTCTCATCTAAACCTCACGCCTGAGCAGACAATCATGCTTTCACCCACACTCCTTTGGCCCAACCACCTCTCAGGCACCTTTCATCGTGAGCTGTAAAACGGCCACTTTAAAATAAACTCAATAGTATGATTAATGTCAATATTACTGTGTATGTGAAGATGCAGCTGTCAGGGATTTCTCAGCAATGATGAATTTAAATTAATGTTACTTGATAGATAGGATTATCCTTAGAGTTAAAGTAACCACGTGTCTTTTTGTTGGAAGAATATCTACCTGTCAGCCTGTACTAATTATTCATGCAATCCCAAGTGTTTGCTATACTAGTCATGGTTGGGCTACAAGATTTGTTCGTTGATGAGTAGATGCCAGTGTGTTGGTATTGAATGAATGTACTGAAAAAATATCCCACTGTGTACTGTAGATGATGTACAAAAAATAGTGCAGGTTTAAAATGATAGCCATTGTGTCTTAGGTGAGAGCAGGCAGTGCACACTGGAGCTAAACATTCATTTCTTCCTTCCTTTCTATCTCTCCCCCAAACTTTAATCCCAGCCAAGCTTTAATCAACAATTTTTTTTTTCTTTTTAAATTTGGATCACTTGCCTGCAATGAAGTCACTTTACAGACTCACTCTTTGTTTTTTCCGCTTGTAAAGTTGTAATTATAGTGTAAATATGCTCAACTTTTCCCTCGCCTAGCTTTCGTGTGTGTG